GAGGATAATTTTCAATTTAATCTTGAGTGGAGTGGTACGCCTGGACTAGCGAGGTGCTTTAAACACCATGAAAATCTCAAAGTCTCAGTGAATTCTTCAAGCTAATTCCCAGTTACAAATATTAGATTGAGCTTTTTAGGAAAAGAGAATTTTAGGAAAGAGAAATTCAATGTGTGTGACCAAACCCAAAAATGTTTTCACAGAATATTCAGAAGCCAAATGCCAGCTGCATGTCCAAGCTCACTGATTGTAGTAGAACCAGTGATACAATGGATTTGTAGAATTCTGTAGGGCCATAAAATTCCCAGATTGACAGCTTGGATCAAAAAGTGGCCACAAGTAGAGCCATGATGTGGTGTTTGAGAGGGCTCTCTTACAGCTTCAGGGACTGGCTGTTGCCTACTCTGGGAGATGTGATATATGAGCCTAGATTTTTTTTGTCTGTTCTTGGATGGCATGGGATGCATGAGTAATGAGAGGTCAGTTGGCAGGGGGGTAGCTACCCTAGAATAATATTTCCAGGTTTTATTTAGAAAAAATAAATACTTAGGGGTGGATCTTGAAAAAGAGAGAATAGCCACAGGCATTATGGAAAGAGTAAAAAGCTTAGTTCATAGCAAGAAATTCCAACCTTTTTGCTCATCAGAGGGGAGGCTGAAATTTCAGCAGCCTTCTTTAAGGATCTCTTAAATGAGGGAAGAAAAATAATTGAAAAATCACCCAAAACCTGAAGTGCCAAAAAATCAGACTCTGAACAGGGTTACTAAAGACAATGTATTATTAAGCAGTGATCTTGGTTTCTCTCCTGCCACCAAAACTTCTTGCAAAAACACGGGGAATTTGTTATTTATGGAAATGTTACATGAAAGACATAATGAGAATTTCAGGATTAGATTTTGAGACTGTTAGAGGTGGTCAAGCCAGATGTGTTTCAGAGCCAGTATTGATATAATTCCTCAAGTATTTCCAGTAGGGGATGCACATGCTGGGAAATGGTGTTGATTTAGTTGATGACTCCACGAGGCTCTTAGTAGATCTTCCTGCCTCTGCTGGGAGGTATGTAGATGGAACCAGTTAATAAATTGCAGGGAGATGGATCTGTTCAAGTCTTCCCTAGTGATCCCAAGCAAACACCTGTGCTCTGGATTCTAGCAGCTCCACAAAACCCAGTTTGTGAGTGAAGTTCTGATGGTTTTGTCTTGACACCAACCAAAACTCCAAAGCCTGATGCTTTTTTTTTTTTTTTTCTGGGCCTCAGATTCATTTGATCCCAAAGCAAAACAAGAGAAGTTGAGGCAAATAGGAACTGCCATGTAAAGGGAAGGTTTATATCAGGCTGTGCTGTCAGATGCTGGCTCCTTTTTGCAGCCACCAGATCAAGGTTAGCATGATGCCACCTAAATCCAGGCAGCTGACCAGAGCCTGACTAAAGTAATTCATTTCATGAATTATTTTTATCTCAGACTTGGATGTGAGCCTCAGTTATTATTTTAATGCTCCATTAAAGCCGTACTGTAGTGAAATAATAAGTCTCACGTTAACATTTTTGTGCAGTGATTGAATCAATGCCCTTGTTCCGTGAGGTGACTGCTGGCATTTGCTGGGACCTGCAGAAGCAGCATCAAGCTGTAGTCTCTTCTGTCCTTTCCCCATCCATGTGCTCTGGATCATCCTTGTTTCTTGAACACTTCCCTGTAGAACCTTTGTGAAGGTGCCTTCCTCTTGCTGCTGCTGCCCGACAAGTGGCTCCCCATCAATGTGATCTTTTTCACATAAATGCAGTGCATCTCACTTAGATGTATCTAAAAGGAAAAAGCTGAGAGGAGTAATTTTGCTCCCTCTGCCTCGCACAGTGCTGGTGGTGCTTACATGCTCCCTGTAGGAAAGCATCCTAAGGCAGCCGGAGAAATGGTGCTGTGCTGGGGAGGCAGCACCCCCTCCCCCCTTCCCCCCAGACCTGCGGAGATGAGACAGCTAAAGAGCTGTGACCCCCTGGCTGACAACCCATGCCATGGAATTGTTCATTTTTTCTTTTAGATACTACGTTTGCAGCATTTGGGATGTTCAGAATAGCTTCTGTGTCATTACTGACTGGGACTTGAGTCAAGCCAGTCAAAATGATTAAGCATTAACTGTCTGCAAACTGAAGTCAGACTGCAAAGTTTGTTAACTTAAGGTGAAGAATAAGTGCTTTGGGAGTTTCATTAAAGTTTTTAGGGTGAATTCAGGTCAAGACCTCAGTGCTGAGGCTGCCTTTTGCTTAATGACCTGCCTGGTGTCCAATTACAGCTGAAATCTGAGGGGCTTGAAGTGAGATTCTCCTGCTTCTTTCACAAGAAGGGATTTTTCCCCTAAGTACTCTTGGATATGGGGGCCTCCAGTGCCTTTTCAATCCCACTATTAAGTCCTCTCACATACAGGTCTTCTCTGAATTGGAGAGAACTTTGAATCAAAAGCAAATTTTTTATGTTGTTTGAGTGAAGGGATGCTTGTAGTGAACTGAGATTCCTGGCTAAAAGCTGCTGCAGTTCTGCAAATTCTATCATAACATTTATGCTGTACATTTTAATTAAACTCAGCAAACAGTTCAGTCTCCCTGATCCTGCAAAGTATCCTGCTATAGGTTTGTATTTGAATCCATTCTGCTTTTAAATGGTTTTCCTATTAAGCTTTTTGTGCTTTGTAACTTTGGGATTTGGATCAGAAAGGCTTTTAATAATTATTCTTTTCTGACAGAGAACACACATGAGTGCACAAGATTTTTGTGTTCATACACACAGCTTCATTCTTGAATGAATGGCCTTGCCTATTTGTGGCCCTTTCAGGAGACCTCTGCTGCTTTTCATAATCGGTTTATTAGTGAAGGATTCAGTGGGAACTGAAAGAAGGTATTTTAGGGGATGAGAAAGAGTAGGAATATGTATCTTATCTAATAAATAGGGCAGGAGTTGTATGAAGAGATGTTCCTTAGCTCTTTAGTCTACCCTGGCTAAGAAAAGATTCATTAATAAATAAATACAACACTCCCTAGATAATTTTCCACTGAGTTATTTGGGGATTTCTTTGTGCTTTTTGCTCAGATCAGACTTCCAGGGGAGGTGTGAGTTGCAGAATTTCACAAGAAAATTTTAATTTTGTTATACAGTTTTGTAACAAATGGCTCCAGTTGATCTTGGATTAACTTAGTTTTTTGAAAGCGTTGCTGTGGGGATAGAAAAATATGCAGAATTATTTTCTTTCCACTTGAGAAATAATTTTCTAAAATCTACAAACTGGTTTAAGGACAGCCAGAAAAATCTCCACTGTCAAATCTTGTATTTGGGACAATATTCCATGCCTGTTCTACACTGTTTTGCAAAGGTTATTCAATGAGAGATTTCAAATTTCCTGTAATTTGTTTTTCACAGTTCTGTGATGAAGGCTTTATTTGGGCTTTAGCAGGAGAGTGATGTGAAGCCTTTCCTTGATGGTTGTAGATAAAGCCATTGGTGTTCTTGGAATGGGAATCTCTGCTCTGGCTGACACATTGCTGTGTCCTGCTCAGAGGGAGACAAACCAGCTCTGCAACCACCAGTTCCAGAATTACAGACCTACCAAGGTGGGAAGGGCCCTCAGATGATCACCTATTCCAACCTTTTGTGGGAATCAAACCTAGATGAGAATATGCAGCAGCTTGTCCTGTTGTGTCTTGAAAATCTCCAGCCTTGTGGACTCTACCACGTTCTTAGGGAAGTTGTTGCAGGGAACTTATTGTTACTTAAGTTGAAGTGTGTCTAAAAAATAATACATATTTGCAGAGAATTATGAGTTTATGGCAAAATCAATTTTTGATAGGGAAAAATAATATGTTTCTTCAAATAGCAATTTTTAGAGAAGAAAAGTGGCAGTAAAACTTAAAAAAATTCTAAATTTTAAATTTCTGTGAATAATTTTATGGTTTTTGAATAAAATCTCCTCCTTTGCAGAGGAGAACAGCTATATCAAGCATTTTAGTAGTCACAAATAATTGATGTTTTTCTGCTTACAGCTCCTGTGCAGCCACTGGAAATGGTTCCAGTCTCTTTGGGATTACTTTCAAATATATGAGGAGCATATATGATAATGTAATATTGCACTGTAATGGTAGAATTCTTCAGTGTGTGTTTTACATATATCCATGAGCATCACCTTTCCTAGTGCCATTTAGACTTTGGAAAGAGGATATTCTGGACCTTTAGGACTTTTCATCATTCTGTATTTTAGGATATTAATTGCTGAGTTTGCTGTGGTACAGAATTTTCAGGACAACCTTCAACCACCTCACCAGCTCTCCAATTTTTACTCATGCTGAGTAGTATTTTTGGGAAATGAAGGAGTAAGAGGATATGGAATTTCAGTGGGGACACTAACAAGTACAGCCTCTCTCTCTCTATATATAATCTCCATCATACTGGAATGATTCAAGCTGGCCTTCCGTTAGGAAGCAGGCTCTTAATACTGCTGAAAATGTAGCACAAGGACATTCAGTAACTAAAGAGAGGCACCAAAATTTCCATACCTAAGTATGGTTGTATATATGTAAGCATGTATGTAACTGTGGGGTTTTAGGAGGCCTGCTCTTCATAAATAATGTTTATAAATAACTGAATATTTACGTATCTTGGATCAAATTTTCAAAGGAGCTTATCTTATTTCTGTATGTGCTGGAGACCAGTTTTTTATCTATTAAAATGGGCTATATAGGATGGAGTTACTTTTGCTGAATCTTGGTTTTGCTTCTGCGTCAGTCTGAATGAAAATTTAGATTTTTTTTTTCTGTCTATTTCTAAGTTATTCTGAAATAAAAGCAGGTTTTCTGGCTCTTCTGTAAGTAAAAAAGAGTCCCATGGTTCATGTGCTGGCTGGGAAGTGTGGCTTTGGAGCACTGAGAGTAGCAGGAACACGGATGTAAGGGGTGATGATTAACAAAGGTGTGACAAGACTCCAATTAATACTGCTTACTCTTTTGTTCCCTTCTCCAGGAAGCTGCTGGAAGAATGCTGTGACCCTGGGCAGCTCTTTGCTATGACAAAGATGAATTCCCCCATGGGAAAGAACCTCTGGTTTGACGGGGAATTTTTATATTCTGTCACAATTGACAATGCAACTTACTCTCTCTTCCCACAGGTTAGTAACCATGTTTAATTTCCATTTTAAGTATTAAAATACTAAATGGTAACATGATATAAATGAGTATAAATAGACTGAAGGGTCATCAAGAAATTTTATCTTCTCAGTACCAAACAGCATCTGCTTTTTTCCTCATTTGGAAAAATTTGGTTGTATGAATGTTAATACTTCCCTGGCTGTTTTTTTGGGATGTACACAAGGGATGAAATTGGGTCACCTGTCTTGATTTTTAAAATGTTTAGTTCTGGATATTTTAAGAGGGTGATTTCTGCATTTCAGTCAGGGATCACAGTCACAGTGAGCCTGATCCCTCACCTACAATTGTTTCAGTTCAGAGCTGTGTAGCCAAGATGGGACAGTGTTCTGTGTGAAAGTGTCCCAAGTTACTTCCAGATTAATGAAGTCCATTGATGGCAAACAACGTAAGTCCAGCTTGACTTTGTTGATTCTTGCTGTATTTTTGCATGTTGGAAGTGGCTGGTTATTAATGTCTGTCAAAGGTGCTTTCAGTTAAGTACAGGGTTTTTGAGAGCTAGAAATCTGTAATACTGGTCTAGGCTGCTTCTTGTATTTTTAAATAATACAGGAACTGATACTAAATAGTGAGTTTGTTATATTGAGTTTTGTATGTTGAGTACAAATATTTTATGTGGCTACACACTTAAAGCCAAACTTCTGGCTTTATTAATTGATTTACATGCTACTTTTATCAGTCAAATTCAAGATAATAGGGATTTATTCAGCCTCCCAGTGTTGAGTCATTCATGACTCATTGAGCATGGCTTCTCATTTGTTGCTGTTTCAGTTAAATGTGTAGCAGAGTTCTTACTTGATAACTTCATCCTGCAAATAAAACATCAAAGTAGTTTTAAGGTTTGTTTTTGGGTTTTTTTAATAGTTTTTATATCTCAAAAACAAAATTATCACTTTGAATGAGTTTCTTTTAATGGAGAATTAGTGAGGGGAAGCTGCAGTGTGGAGCAGAGGAGATGGGAGCAGCCCCTGTGTTGACATAATCCAGAGGAGCTCTGTTACAGCTGTGTGTTGTTCAGGATGCCAGGTCCTCTATCTTGTGACTTGTGCCTGTTGCCATGAACTGGATGATGGGCCTCTGCCTCCCCCAGCCTGCTCCTAGCTTTTGTGTCCCAGCAAGCTCAGCAAACAAGTAGATGCTGAAGCCTGCCCGGCAAGTGGATTTTTCCTGCAGTACAGCTGGAAAGGGGTTTCCCAGCTGGACTGAACTCTTCTGGAGGCTGATAGGAAATTTATGGTGTGTTGCAGAGCAGTAGCTGTAAGTTTTGTTCATGATGATTAGTGTGATTTGCTGCTACTATATTGCACTGTTTATTGGAGAAAACCAGAATCCTTTGCAGAGCTGTGAACTTTGTACCACAAAGACACTGACAACAGGTGCTCAAAGTGTGCTTGTCCTTTCCAAGATTCAGGAAAGCCCCACCTGGGCTGGCAGAAGGAGGTCACTGTTTTGTGATAGACTTGGGATTTCAGATTTGGATTTTTTTTTTTAATTAAAACCTAGCACTCTGCTTGGCTGATGTGATGTCCTACGTCCTTGCACAGCAAAGAGCAGCATGCTGGATGGGCTCCTTCATAGAGGTTAGAGAGAAATCAGTCTTTACAACTCCACTGGTTCCCAGGATCCTAAGACGTGTTCTAAAAGTTTATCAGTTGGCCAGATCAAGAGTAAAGATCTGGTAAGTCCTGAAGAAAGGAACTCCTGGCGGACAACATGAGCTAACCAGCTGGGACTTCAGTGTCCTCAGACGTGTCAAGCATGCTGCAAAGGGGGTGGGTAGATGCTGCTCTAGGTTTGGTGGTGGAAAAAGGGAATTTTCATCATGTTCCAGCCCTAGAATGCTATCCCTTTAATGAGGTGATGGGCAGTTTGTTTCTGACAAATGCTACTCACTACTGCTCCTTCTTTCCTTGCAAGTACCACTGCCTCTAATTTTATCTGTTATATATGCATTTTGCCCAGAGGAATTCTGTAGGCATTTATCATACAAAATCCTGATAGGCTTAAAAGCTAAGGGGGATTTATTTGCAGTCAATTTTGAAACACGTTTTTCTACTTCTTTCTTTGTTTCAAGCCTGAATTTTAGGCTTTTAAATATTACTAGCCTAAATTTTTCAGGCTCTGGCTTTGAAGAATGGTGTCTGTTATTAGCTTGCTTGCAAGCTATTTTTCTGAAGATGAATATTCCTTTCAAAAGTATCCAGAAGCTTAAAATAACTCAAAAAATATGGTTAATACTCTGAAATGCCATGGGGATGTAACAGGAATGTAAAGGACCACAGCTATGTCAACATAATCAAATATTTCCTGTGGAATAAATAAAAATGGCTCTATCCATATTGCTGGGCTTGAGCAGTTTGGTGATTTCAGAAGATTCCTCAGTCCTGAACCAGGGACTAAAGTATAGGATAATGTAACTCAAAACTAAATAGGGAACTTGTATTTCATGTTATACAAAAATATGTCCAAAATTACCATGTAAAATGTCACTTTTTTCTGAATGTGAGCAATACAAAATAGAATAGTTTTTCTTCTGAGCAGTCTGTAGATAAAATTCTTACAGCTGGGTCAGCATTTTCTGACAGAGTGCTTTTCCACTAAAAATGCTTTATCATGGAAATATAAATTTAGTATCAGTTCATTAGTTTTCCAATTTTTCTTTGAAGTAAAGAGGTTAAAGGGTTTTGGTGGTGTTATGACATTTCATTTTAACTTTTTTTTTTTTTTAATGTAATACTTCAGCTGTTGGTGTTTCTTTTTATCAGCTCTGTTGCTGCCTCTATTTTCCTTAGACTTTGAGTGATTATATTGCTCCTTTTATTTTTTCAAGTTTTTGACCCACTGAGGGAGAAATTTGCAAAAGAGAAAAGCTTTTATGTGGAAATAGTAATTCAGGGCTCCATTTCAGTTTATGAGGACAGAATTTGATGTTGCAGAGTTTTGAATGTACCAGTAATTCTACATGCTGGAAGCAGTTCCTCTTAGTGTCTATCCCTCTGTGTCATTTTACCCCTTGATTCTGAGAATTAAAATTTTTGGAAGCAGAAATGAGATATTGCACTGAGTGCACCATCTTTCCCCTCCTGCAGAGAAACAGGTCAATACTCAGCAGTCAAGAGAAGCCAGGCTCCCCACTAAAGGTCATGGGTAACCTGTAAATGTATCTTGTCATCACTGTGGACCTTCATTAAACAGGACACAGAACTGTGTGTGTTGGTGAGTGTCCAGGACTGCTGGACACAGTAGTCACACAGTGTGTCTCTCTGACACACTTCCCACCGTGTGCAATCTCAGCCATCAGCTCTGGTCCTGCAGCATTGCACTGAGGCATAACGTAAGGCATGACTAGCATTTCCCACCCTTCACCATCTGACTGGAATGGGAGAAACCAGGCTTCCATATATTCCTGCAGTCATTTTTAGCTGCTCTGAGTAAGCAGGATGTAACCTCATGAATAGCTAGGATGTAACTTGAAACCATATGAGAGGAACATGAACTAGCACTCATCTGCTTTGGAGTTGAAATGCATCAAGCCCCAGTTTCAGATGTTTTTTTGAAATAATTTTTCACTCCTTACTATCTTTTTCTTCTCAGAGTTTCAAAAACAAATTTCAGACTATCTTTAGCACTAGGGAGGAAAAAGCTGCTCACCACAACAGTTAGGGTTTTTTGTGCAAATATCTGATTTTCCCTATAGCAAGGAAGAACTGAAGTAAATTTCTGAGGTCACCTTTCTCCATCCCCTAAGAGGTTAAAAATCCCAGTTAAATCTAATGTAACTTTTCACTCTGCCATATATTGTTTTGGAGGGTAAAGGAGTGAATACATTTCAAAAGACATTCCAAATATTAAACTTCAGCTTTTTAATCTGGCAAAATAAAACAATTAATTGAAAAAAAAATCTCTGGTTTAATTGTGTTTCACTTGAAGCAGTTTTGGTACCAGTACATTATTTTAAATTACTAAAATATGATTCCTCAGCTGCTCAAATCCATTGTAAAGTTTCACTTGCAGAAGCTGTCAGTTACAAGAGTGGCTGAGCTTCTCACGAATAGTCATCACAAATGGTGTTGGAGAAACCCAAAAGAAGTAACTATCAACCACAAAAAAACTTGGGAAATGTGGCATCTGTTTCTGAGTACTTTGTGATCAGGAGAAAGATTATATTTTCCTAATCACACATATCACATAAATATTTATTTAAAGTTTAAATTCCCACCATTAATACAAAGGCAGAGAAAATGTTGCTCTAATTGTAAATATAAAATGGGGACATTTTCTGACATTTTCTGGATTTTCTGAATGCTGTATTGGGTAACAGTGTATTATTTGATGATTTTGCTGTGTGATTTGTGCTTTTCATTCAGGGTACCTATTAAATTTTGGGAGCTAATTTGGTTTTTCTTGATTGCTCACAACAACTTTTGTTTAGCCAGAGATTTTGTATCATCCTGCTGGTGCTGTTTCAAAGCACATTCCCTGCTCTTACAGTTACAGCCTGCAGCAAGTAGAATAATTTGTAATTATTTCAGGAAAAGAAAAAATTCAGGTTGGGAAGGGGAGTTTGGTGTAGAGTCTGCAGGCTTTTTCCCTTATAGCATGCTAAGAATAACAGGAAAAACATCCAGAGGAAGGAAGTGACGCTTTGGTTCTAGCAAAGGCTGAGGTGTAGGAGCAGCAGGTTCTGGGAAGGGTTAGGTGGGAGCCAGCTGCTGTGCAGATCCAGGGTGGAAAGTGAAGCTAGAGCTGTGTAAAAAAGTCAACACCTTTAGGAAGACAATGTTTCCTACCTTAGGGAAAGCGCTCTGCTCTGTTGGACTGATTTTAGAGTAGGCAATCCAAAAATTGTGTGTAAAATGGGAAACAACCTGAAACAATGTGGGCTAGGATCTGATGGGCTGCAATGTTGCCAGGAGGCAGGAATTACTGCCCTTCCTGTTTATTTTTGATGTGCTCTGTTAAT